CTTGCTTAGTAGTTAATGAATGTTTCCTCTGTAGCTTTCAGGAAATTCTGAAAAAAGTTCATTATGGAAAAACTTTGTTTACATCGATTAGAATTTTAAGATTAATTCCTGTCCGGGAACAAATTTTAGTTTAAAATTGGCCTGCCAGCAACCTATAATTTTTATGAAACTTTTTCACCCAGGAGATTATTTTATACGATTTTTTTCTCTTTGATTTTTGATTACTTTAAATATGTTATTTTATCACAAAACCATATAATGGAATATCAATTTTTTTTTCGGAGTCTTTTGGTTTAATTTTAAGTAATTGTATTTAAAATAGTATTTTAATCCATGTCTTTTATTTTACAAGCAATATTTATAACAATACATAGGATTTAATAGTTCCATTACCTTTTCAAGGCAAACAAATTAAATATCATGTTTGTGTCTTAAGTCTTTTGTTTAAAATGGAGTTTTTCCAATTACTGCTCAAAAATACTCCCATCGATCACAGACTGTATTGCTTACAATTTTTTTTTTTTTTTTTTTTTTTTGATTGTTTTTCAGATCTGATTTAATTTTTCCTTATTTTTTCTAAGCTGCAAAATTTTAAAACATTTGAATTTATTGCTCGGTTAGAACAAATTCAACATTTTTTTTTAAATGTTCTCCATTAAAATGACAATGATTGTGTCGTGAGTTATAAGCGTATACAATGTTTTCTTTCACTGATTACATAAATTCACTTCCAAAACGGCAATTTTTCTTTAAAGTATGATATGACAAATATCTTCAGTCTGTTCTTTTGTAGTAAATTACTATGAATCCACATTAGTTTATCCAAACCCCTATTAATTCATTGCATTTAATAATTTCATTACATTTTCAAGGCAAACAAAATAAAAATCACGTTTGTATCTTAAGTCTTTTGTTTTACATTTAATTCAACTACTTCTCAAAAATACTCCCATTGCTCATAACTTAATTCGGCATTTGTAATAATTATCCGTCAAATTGCAATTTTATATCTGACCTGAATGTCTTAATCATAATAATTTATCTAACAACGATTGCACACCTTAATACAAATGACTGTCTGTATATTTGGCTGCAAGTTTACACACTCTTCGTCTACACACCCCTCTACGTCTACACACCCTTCTGCGTCAATGAAACCCAATCGTCTTTTAATTACGCATTGCAGCAACTCTCCTCAATTTGTTGTTGATGCTATGCGAAATAAATTTATTGCGTGGTTGCTGTAATAGGTAGCATGTTTGTTTCTAAAGTCTTTTGTTTAAGGGGGGTTTTGTTTTTTTCTCTTTACATCATTAGCATTATCGTTAGAGATTATATTCGCGAATTGTGTTAAAATTGCTAGTCTATAGATTACTAATTTTTAATACTTAATAATAATTTTTAAATTGACCTCAAAAGCCATCCATCATTAGACCGTAGGTCCTATATCCATAGGAGATCTTTAAAAGACTTTTGAAGGCATTTTATTCATGAAAGACCTTAAGGAGACCTACTCTTCCATTTGTTTTTGAAATGGATTTTTTTTTGGGTTTCTACGATATTGTGCACTTCTTTTGTTTTAAGGGTGGTTTCGTTTTTCATATATTCCATATAGCCCCCATATAACGGTACCTCCCGACATTCGGTATTTTAATGATTTTAGCGACATTATTCACCGGAATTGTCTCAAATTTGATATTTGAAGTTCGAAATGGATACTACAGCATAAGACAGAAAATTATCTGTGCAGTTCCACGTCTTCCTATAGCGCCATATAATGGTTGATTTTAGCGACATTATTCACCGGAATTTTTTCAAATTTTGGTATTTGAAGTTCGTAATTTTCTATAACAAAAAATTGTCTGCGCACGTCCACGTCTTCGTATAGCCCCCATATAACGGTACCTCCCGATATTCGGTACTTTGTTGATTTTAGCGACATTATTAACCGGAATTATTTCAAATTACGTATTTAGAATTCGTAATGGGAAGTATAGTCTGTGACAGAAAATTGTCTATCCAGGTTCAGGTCTTCGTATATATCAGTACCTCTCTATATTCGTATATTATATATAGGTACAATACCCACCGAAATTGTTTGAAATGCCGTATTTGAAGTTCGTAATGGATGCTACAGCCTGCGACAGAAAATTGTCTATGCTGGCCCAGGTCTTCGCACAGCTCCGATATAACGGTACCTCCCTATATACGACATTTTGATGATTTTAGCTAAATTATTCACCGTTTATGCCTATGTAGGTCCACGTCGTATAGACCCCAATATAACGGCTATATTCGGTATTTTTAAAAATTTTAACAGAATTTTTTAAGGATTTTATTCACTGAAAATTTTCAAATTCGTTCCAAATGGTGGAGGGTAGAAGACATTGGAAAGAGTTTATCCACAAACAACTCATAAAAGGTATTTCGTCCATAGAAGAATTTTTTGAGGTTTTCGAAGACCTCTGGGAGGACCTCCATCTAAGAAACCCTTTAGAAATTGTTTTTCTATGGAGGGCCTAAATCTTCTGTTCATAGGGTACCATTAAAATTGTTATGCATAGAAGACCTTTAGAAGGCTTTCTATCAACATTTTAAATGTTTTCAAAATATCGTGTAGGAGACTTATGGGATCTTCAATACATGTGGGACCTTTAAAAGGTCTCCCAGCCGTTGAAGACCTTCAGAAGCTCCTTTATTTATAGAAGCTCTTTACAAAGCCATCAATATACAAAAGACCTTTCAATGGTCAATAGAAAATACCTGAAAAGATCTCCTATATATCAAAGGCTTCTAGACAACTCTAATCGACTCAAACTTTAGAGACGAACTTTGAGAGACGAACCTGCATTCCATTATCCGCCTTCAGAAATAAAACTTCAAAAACGCCAAAATTTAGAAATTATTTTATTGTAAAATAAAAGTTTGTTCTACGATACTTGTTGAGATTTTTTTTTTTTTTTTTTTTTTGATTTTAATATTTTTTTTTTTTTTTTGTGAGATTTAATTATATTAAAAATATATAAATTAAAAAAAGTTTTTTATCTTAATTTCTTTGGTTTTATAATTTTTTGTTATTTTTTCTAATTATTTAAAATTGGTATACGACGTGCTTCATTTTTTTTTTTAAATCAAATATGTGCCTATATATCTAAAAAAAATTTTCTTACGTTTTCAACAAATTTTTTTTCAAAGTTTTGTATTTTTTTTATAAGAAATATATATAAAATTCGCATAGGATGTTTTTTTTTTTTTTTGTTTATTTTTAATGCTTCATTAATCGCAAAAATAAAAGTTTTTCTCATTAAAGATTTCAAAAATATTTTTTCATAATTTTAATTTTCATATTTATTTATTTTATATTTAAAATTATTACCTTTTAAATTAGTAATATGATAACTGTTAATTTAAAAAAAAATATGTATTTAGACTTTTTATAAATGTCAAAATTACTGTAGGTTTACTTTATTTAAAACATTAAAGTTTAAAAAAAATAATATTTTGATAAATTTTATGAAATTTGTGTTCTTATTTTTAAAAACAATAATAAAATTTACAGAATTTGATTTCTAATTGTACACTATATTATAAAAGTTAAAATTATTGTACATATATTTTAATAAAAAAATAAGAAAAATACCGTATATTTTTTTTAATTTTTTTCATAAATAAATTTTTCCAAAATTTTTAAAATACCGAATTTGTTTCCATATTAAAAAAAATATTTTTAAAACTTGCAGAAATTGATTTTTAATTTTTATATTTTATTATTATTTTATAATCTATTATTTTTTCTTTAATTTTTTTTGTAAATTATTTTTCCAAAATTTTTAAAATACCGAATTTGTTTCCATATTAAAAAAATATATTTTTTAAACTTGCAGAAATTGATTTTTAATTTTTATATTTTATTATTATTTTATAATTAATTATTTGTTTTATATATTGGCATAATAACCTATAATCTTTAATTTTTTTCGTAAATTATTTTTCCAAAATTTTTAAAATACCGAATTTGTTTCCATATTAAAAAAATATATATATTTTTTAAAATTGCAGAAATTGATTTTTAATTTTTATACTTTATTAATATTTTATAATTAATTATTTTTTATATATCGGCACAATAACCTATAAAATAAACGAATATTAATAAATAAAACGAATATTAAATATTTATGTTTTTTTTTTTTTTTTAATGTCAAAGTTATTGTAGATTTACTTTATTTTTATAATTTTTTTAAATAGCTTTAAAAAATACATTTTTCTTTTTTTTTATTTTAAACAAGGAAATAATCACGTAGTTGTAAAACCTAACAATTTAGCAAAAAACCCAACTCCAGTAGCCCTTGTAAATGTAACTAACAAAACGATTAGCACTTTCTTTCTATTAATAATTTTCAGGAATAAAATACCAAACTTTCGGTAGCAGCAATGACGGAGATTTATTTTTGTAAACCCTTGGCCTGGCCATGACGCAACTTTGCAAAATAAACACACACACAAGACTCATGCAAGCATTACTCACTCACACACATGCACAAGCACAGAAACACGTTACTTTCTACGACCGCTGCAAGTTTTTTGTGTTACAGCACTTTCTTCCTTGAAAATGTTTTTTGGGATACTTTCTTCTTCTTCAAAAAAACTCAAAACTTCGCCTTCAACTTCAGAAATCAAACACCTGTTAAACGCGCCTTAACTCACACACACACAGACACATGCAATCACGCAAAAAGTACACACACACACAATTTTTACACACTCTTTGATAATCCTAAGCCATAACTAAATTCCTCATGAAAAACTAAAATCGAATTTCCATTTCTCATTTAAATACAATTAAATAAATTAATAATATTTTATTTTTTTTTTTTATTTTCTTGTTCTTCTTTTTTCCCTGTATTTTTTTTCTCTATTTGTTTTTTATAAAACTAAAAAAAATTGAAACAAACGCCGCTTTGCAACAATTTGCAACGAAAAAATGAACCGAACTATAGCTGCGCACACCAGCAACTGTTTATAAAAATGGAGTGCTGGTAACGCGAAGGCCCGTACTGAGTGTGCGCCGACGATTAATTACCACAACACCAGCGCCAGCGTCTGCAGCAACAGCGACAGCATCCGAGGCAGCAGCAGCAACAACGGCAGTGACCACCACCGAAAGCTCTATAGCAACCACAACACAATCATCATCTGCAGCAGCAATAACAACAACAGCCAAACCTTTGTCTGCCATTGATGCTGATGACGATGCTGATGAAGATGATGTTCGAACAACCTCTAAATATACCCGTTTACGTTTTACATACTTGACCACCACGACCGCTTCACCTACGACCAGCCAAGATAGCCAAACCACACCATTGCCCACAACATTCCCCAAAGCCGGCAACAAATCGAAAAAACAACAAAGAACTGAAAATGATTTGAGTTTGACGCCATCGGCAGCCAATGATATTGGCGGCTCTGCTGCCAAACAACAACAACAGCAGCAACAACATAAAAGTTCGCCGTCTTCGCTGGGTACAGCAACGACCACGACGACCACTTCGTTCCGTCGTAAATATCAGGCACGTCGCTTAACCACAACAACAGCATCGCCCACAAATGCCGATGGTCTGGGTAAGTTGTGTAAAACATGTTGCGTGCAACATTTTTGGCTTGGGTTTTTGGTTGTCAGCAACAAATCGAGATTGTTAAATAATAGAGGTGTTTTTTATGTAATTCATTCAAATCTCTGCCATAATGGAAGCGCCATAACCCAAAATTGGTCATAAAAAAATTTCCTACATATTTCCAGAATTTTTCAATTTTTTATAAATGTTGAGTCCGTGTCAAAGACATAGAAGTGTAAAGATAGGACAAGACAAAGTAAAATATGGCAACCCAGTGAAAAATCCTTCTGTTGTTATGATATCGTAACAACATAGTTACCAATGTTAAGCAATTTAAACCGCTAATGCAGTATGCAATTATTTGGGAAGGTATATGGAATAGAGCTTTGAAACAAATATTTTGGATTATCCAAATTTTTATTTGTCATTCTTTCCTATAATTGTGTTTTTTATATTAACTTGCCTCTGTCATGAGCTGTTATTCAAGGTAGTATAGCCACAAACCATTTGTTCAGAATGCATTTTGTCTAGTCTTTACCATTTTAGGTCTTTGTCCGTGTCAAAGACCTAAAATGGTAAAGACTAGACAAAATGCATTCTGAGCAAATGGTTTGTGGCTATACTACCTTGAATAACAACTCATGACAGAGGCATGTTAATATAAAAAACACGATTATAGGAAAGAATGACAAATAAAAGTTTGGATAATCCAAACTATTGGTTTCAAAATTCTATTCCATATACCTTCCCAAATAATTGCACACTGCCTTAGCGGTTTAAATTGCTTAACATTGGTAACTATGTTGTTACGATATCATAACTACAGAGGTATTTTTCACAGGGTTCCCATATTTTACTCTGTCTTGTCCTATCTTTACACTTCTATGTCTTTGTCCGTGTTCGGCATAGGGAAATCCAAATCGACAATTGCTTAATGAATTTTTGTATTGAAAAAATTTAAAATTCGAAATCGACATTTTCTTATGGAAATACTGCGAAGTCGACTTTTCGCAATCGAATATGGGATCACAGATATTTTACTCTATTTTTTTTACCTCAAACTTGCTATAGACGGTATATTATTTTTGTCATTCCGTCTATAACTCCTAAATGATCAGCTTAAAGCTTAACAAGACGATTTAAACATGTCCTTCTGTCCGTCGGTGATAGTCACTCCAACTTTGACGATACGCCAACATGGCAAAAATTTTGGGTCATAGACACATTATGTCTGATTTTTTTATGGGATTGAAAATGGGATTTATCTACCCCCATAATAAGGTACATCCTGATTTTCGGTATTTTGAGGATTTTGGCAACAGTTTAAAATGTTTAACCTTCCCAACCAACGGCCACTATTACCTCTGGCAGTGGCAAAAAATAGTGTTTATCTAGATTCATGCCTCCATAACGGGTATTGAGAGATAGCGTTTTATGGGTGCTATTAAGGCACCTCCCGATATTCGTTATTTTCATGATCGTAGTAACATTTTGCATTCGAATTGTTTCCAAATACCACATCCTGTTGCAGAAAATTGACTATACAGATTTTGGGTTTGCCTCCATGCATCGGAACCTCCCAAATTTTTGTATTTGGGCGGTTTAAACCTCATCCGTATCTTCTATATATACATACTGGGTGAGATAAAAAAATTGTAAAAAAAAAGGAAAACGCCATAGTTTTTACATTTTTTTTTTAATTTTATTGAATGAAAGCAAAAAATGTCGGAAATAGCATCAACTCTTAGAACAAGTTTAGATTTGTTCGAATTGGTCATCTTTGGCACGAATTATGGCCCTCAAACGGCCAATGAAACCAGAAACACGCTGCCCGAATTTTGCTCTGCGGTATTTTGACCCATTCCCGGTTGCTTGAGGTGATCAACACTTTGGTATGCTTTAGTGCCAACCTTGCTTTTTAAAATACTCCAGATACAATAGTCCAACGGATTGGTATCCGGAGATTTTGGTGGCAATTGAGCGCTGGAAATGAAGCGAGGAACCTCATTTTGTAACCATTCTTGAGTGGCGCATGTTGAGTGAGATGGTGCTGAGTCCTGTTGGAATGACCAAGGTCAGCGGCCAAAATGTTTGCGTGCCCAAGACTTTAATACACCCTCCAGAATATTTTCGCGATAATATTCTGCATTCATTCTGATGCAACGGTCGATTAATACGAGCGGAGAGGGACCATTGGCTGTTATGGCCGCCCACACCATCACCATGGTCGGTGCTTGGGTTCTGGTGGCCAACCGAAGGTACGCATTTTCAGCTGACCTCTTTGGCAAGTGAACACGATCATTGTTGGCTTACAAACTGCTATGCAACGAATGTTTTCTCATCGGAGAGAGAGAATATCAAGTTCGGCAGTTCACCACTTTCGGTCAAGCGAAGCAACTCTTTAGCTCTTCTGAGTCTATTTTTTTCTATTGTGGTGCAAGTTCAATGGCTCATTTTTCAATATTTGCCGAATGGAAAACTGCGATATGTTCAGTTTACGAGCCATTTTTCGACCACTGCGACGCCGGTTTAGATCAAGTCGCTTCTTTTCGAAACATTTCTGCTGATGTTGCTGTTTTCTTCCGTCTACTTCCTTGACGTCGGGCAACGCTACCAGTATCACGGTAACGAGCGATGGTACGAGACACAAAAGTTTTATTTACATTTAAATGCTTGAGTGCTCTAACGATAGCCACTTACGGTTTTCCTGCCAACTATAAAGAAATCACCCCATTACGCTTGAATTCCATCACGAATAACTTTTTTCTGGAAAATTCTCCCCAAAATGCTTTTGTACGCTTGTAAACAATATAATGAGGTGTCACTGGAATAATTTTAACAGCTGTCGGATGAGTGGCTTTCGCTGAAGTTGGTTGCTGTTTTTTCAGGGTTCATAGTGCTCGGAACACCAATTGAATCTTTCTAACTAGTTTTTTTCTGAATTCTTTCGAGAGTTTTCATGTCCATCAGCCAGAAAACAGATAGGTATCGCTTTATTGACTTCAAATGCCCTTACACCTGATTTTTTCCAAAGAGATATGTAGGATAACATTGAGCTCCGAAAATAGTTAATTATTATTATTTTTATACCCTCCTTCATATTATGTAGGGTATATTAAGTTTATCATTCCGTTTGTAAAACCTCGAAATATCCATTTTATACCCCACGAAGATCAGCAGAAAATTCTATGTCGATTTAGCGATGCCCGTCCGTCTGTGGAAAACGTTATAGCTTCCGAACGAATTGAAGTAGATTGATAAAATTTTACTCAAATGTATATTATGTCTGCAGAACTTTTGGTACTGAAAATGGGTCACGTAGGTCTGCGTTTTGGTATAGCCCCCATATATATTTACATCCCTATTTTCGGAATTTTGGCGATTTAAGCGACATTATTTACCGGAAATGTTTTAAACTTTGTATTTGCATTGGAAGCAATGTAGTTGTTGTGGACAAAAAATCCATCACTACAAAAACAAAACTTTGCTGTGAAAAAGATCTGCCAATAGAACTTGAGTCGAACCTGGAGAGTTTCTAGTGTATAATTCGCATATGCTAATTTGCAATAAGTTCGAAATATATACTACTTTCCAGAGAACGGCCCTTGTAAGCCATCATCCACACCAAATATGCCTGATGAGCCGCTTAACCAACGGCGAAACGCGTCGCATAGTGGTGAGTGTGTGATAGTGTCTATCTGGCTTTCCTTTTCACTACAAATTTCAGATCATTAAGCTCGTCTCGAAAGAGAAAACAAACACATAAATCATAAAAACATATGATCTTCGCTTTAACAAGGCAAAACTCTAAAGTCCTTAAAATTCTGTTCAAATTTTAAAAATACCGAATATAGCCGTTATATTGGGGTCTATACGACATGGACCTACATAGGCCTTGTTTGTCATAAGCCATTACCGTATGGATACTACAGCCTAAGACAGAAAATTGTCTGTGGAGGTCCACGTCTTCGTATAGCCCCCATATAACGATACCTCCCGATATTCTGTGTTTTGATGATTTTAACGACATTATTCACCGGAATTGTTTCAAATTTGGGATTTGAAGTTCGTCATGGATACTACAGCCTAAGACAGAAAATTGTCGCTGCAGGTCCACGTCTTCGTATAGCCCCCATATAACGGTACCTTCCGATATTCGGTATGTTGATGATTTTAGCGACATTATTCACCGGAATGGTTTCAAATTTGGTATTTGAAGTTCGTAATGAATACTACAGCCTATGACAGAAAATTGTCTGTGCAGATCCCTATAACGATACCTCCCCATATTCGGTATTTTAATGATTTCACCGATTTTTTTTTTTTTTTTTTTTGTTAAATTTGCATTTGAATATTGTAATGGTTTATGACAAAAGTTACCTATGCAGGTCCATGTTGTCGTATAGATCGTATAGGGTATTCAAAGTTCGGCCCGGCAGAACTTGCAGTTTTTTACTTATTTTTTTTTTTACTAATTTTGTCTGAATTTTTCGAGAAATATCATGTTCATCAGCCAGATGACAGACAGGTATTACTTTATCGACTTCAAATGCCCAAAGAAACATAGAGTCGGTGAGGAACATTTCCGATGTATTAAATCATTTGCACACTCTATAGCCATAAAGCTGGAGGTTATCATAGAAAAAGATAATTGCGAATGTGTACTTGTTTCTTCCAAGAAGTAGTACTATTTTTTAAAGGCACAGGCCTTGTTCCTAAAGAAAGGATTCAGTCATGACTAAATTTGCACTTTTTCATATAAGGAAATATTGAGTTCCGAAAATAGATTTCTTTTTCAAAAGTAAAATACATAGCCATCGGGGAATATGACCTTCTCTAATAGGAGTTGCAGAAAGTTTCCAATAAGAAGAAAATGTAGCATTTTTTTCAGAAGCTACGAAGTGTTCCTATGGAAATAGGGCTCTAAGATATTTTTTATAATAAATGTAATAAAAATTCCAAGGAGCCAAAAATCTTGCGAATTTTTCATATAAGGGGTACTGTCAC